GACTGCCATGCTGTACTTATAAACAGCCACCCCAGGATGAGCAGCATCTCTCCCCTGGGGGGCTCAGGTGCCCTCCACCACACACAGCATTTGAGGACACTCTGAAAACAGCCTGACCTCAGGGAGCAGCTTCTGAATCCCTCCTGCTGTTATCAAGAAGAAAGGCAAGGAGTCCATGACAACAACCGTTCTTCCTGTGCAACAGGTCTTTTCTTTCATCTTTCAGATGGGTTTTGCCTTGAAGACTTCAGAGAGATTCGTGCTCTGAGGCCTCACTATCTGCCAGGCAACACACATCAGACTGCCCGCAGCTCCAGCCTGGCAGATTTTAAGCAACTACAGATAAGCAAGCTTTTTGCAAAAAATGAGTTGCTGTGCTCTGGGAAGCAGAAGAGCCAAGGGCTGGAAAGATTCAGCAGCATTTTCCTACCATGGGCCATTTCCCCAGAACCAGAGCGACAGGAGCTGCAACCTTGCAGGCTGGAGAATGAGACAGCAGCAGCCACCCCGCAGAGGGCACGGAGGAGGCTAGAGCTGCAGTCTCAAGAGCAAATCCAAGGAAAAGCTCAAATCTGTTGCTGCACCAGCAGCTTTAGGGTCACACAACAAGCAGAGAAGCAGCTGCAGCAAGGTGCTCGATCAGATGCCAGCAGGAAGACCTCACTTCAAGAGCCCAGCATCTTCTCCAGAGGACCTGATCCTGCTAAAAACATTCCCAGGTTAGCACTGCAGACTTAGTGTTAACAGACTGGTTTTAGGATGATTTCCCTGTGGGCAAGTCTGCTGTCCCACATAGGGACAGCTCCCAATGTAGGGCAGGACAGACCAGCCAGACCAAGCAGCTGGCACGCAGGCTGAAAGCCAGGCAGGGAGACCCAAAATCTGCACATGGATCTGCTGTGCACCGCTGCTCTCCAGGCAAAAACTGGATCGAGACCCCATTTGCTTGCACCCCTTGAGAAACAGGGTAGTGAAGGTAAAGGATATCATCAAGGGCAGTCCCACCTCGCTGCCTCTTAACTCCTCCTTGCTTCTGAACTCAGATCTCAGCACGCCTGCCCACCTACTGGGAGGCTAAAGACAGGGAAACACAGCCTCAAGAAATACAGAATGGCAGGACTGCAAGCGTTAAAGGCCAGTTTCCTGCACAAGTCCCTCCCCAGGTCACAGAGTAGGTTGCTGGGACTTGCTGAAGTATTTCCAGCCTGACAGATCTAGTGGCAGCAGAGGGTATGAGACACTTTGCCGGCTGTGAGACAGCAGTTCAATCCTACAGCCAGGAAGTGCCAGCAGCTCCAGCCTGCAGCAGCCACTGCCTCCAGAGAGCCTCTCCAGGCACCAGCAGTGCCTCTGGCATGCTCCCCAGAGCTCAGCACACATCCTCTGTGCATTACAGGCCTGGTGCAGAAAGAAAAACTCCTCACAAATAACCCTGTCTGGGTGCAAGGGGCTCAGCGGCCCTTTGGGAACAGGGGATGCATGCAGGACTGAGGCACACAAACCAGCCCCGCCGTTCTCCGGCCTCCAATCAGCTGGCATGTGCTCCTACTGCACCAAGCTGTGTGGTGACAACGCCCTGGGAGCACAAGGTGACACCAGAAGGCTTTGCAGCCATAGGTCCTTCCCAAGCTGAGGAAGCTCCGTGCTGGCAGGGACTAGGCAGAGAAGAGGTCCCAGCTCATCAGTACTCAAGCACAGCACTGCAGGGGACCACATCAGCAATATTTTTAGCCTGATTGTTAGCTATTTTGTTGCATTTCCACCCTTCCAGCCACCTCTCTGTGGGTCCGCACAGCTGAGTCACTGCTGGAACCTTCCAAACGCTTGGGTGCCAGCAGCACAACAGTTTGCTTGGCAGTGCCAGCCCTCCCCCATGCCCAGCACTGCCGCAGCCTCCCCTGCCTGCAGGACACCCCGAGGGAGACCCCAGCCCTAGAGGCTGGGCCAGCTGAGCCTCCCAGGCCTCAGCAGCACTCAGACACGGCAACAGCCTCTCCGTATCCTCCCTCTTGCCGTCACAGCATGGACAGGCCACCCGGAAGCACCAGCAGCTGCCAGCTCCTTAGACCCACACAGCTTTCAGACACGGGACACTTTTCTGCCACCCAGAGCGTTCCACAACCTTTTAGAAAACACTTCTGAACTACAAAGCCTCTGCTCCCAAGGAGCTCCACTGCCACTCCTCCAGAGCCCTGAGGAAGGGCTAAAGCCCCACAGAGATGGGAGGTGTGGGTGGCTGAAGCAATACAGAGTTGTGCGCAGGATGCCACTCCTCCAGAGCCCTGAGGAAGGGCTAAAGCCCCACAGAGATGGGAGGTGTGGGTGGCTGAAGAGTTGTGCGCAGGTCCAGCCTTTCACCTCCCCAGCACATACCATCCCCACAGCTCTCAAGCTGGAGAGTAACAGCAGCCCAGACCATGAAGCACTCCTGGCCCAGCTGCTGCTCGCAAAGGGAGTGTGGGAGTGAGAAGGAGAACACTGTCTCAGGATCACAACACCACCAGCCACAGGGCACTGGACCCTCTGCACAGCCACTGAAGGCCAGAGGCTGCTGTGTACAAGCAGTACAGCTGCACTTGGGCAGGTCTTACACCTCAACAACCCCCTCTTTGTGTACTAATGGGAATACCAGAGTCAGAAGTGAAGAAACAGGCCTCTTCAGACAGCACTGAGTGCCATCTTCCACCAGCTGTTACCACACTTGTCACAACCACCCAGTGGGCACAGATCACCAGAGCCCAGGGCTGTGCTTGAGGCCAGATCCTTTCCACAGCTCTGTCCAGGCCTCTGCGGCAGACAGGAGCTCCAGCACAAAGCACTGCAGTCAGTGGGGGCACCTGACACCAGATACACCCTCTGTGAGCAGAGAGGTCACCAGAGCACCTTCAAATCCTCTCCAACTCAATCTCTCCTGAAACCAGCAGCCCGTCCACCCCCTTAACAGTAAATTCCCACCACCAGCATGGCCATGCCAGCCCCACGCAACCTCTGAGGCGCAGAGCCTGCCCCGGGCTCACGCCAGCACTGCTCGCCTGCCTGCCGGAGCACTGCGGAGACATCCACACCTCTGCCAAGGCAGGCTGGCAGGAAGCTGGCCAAGAGAGCTCTGGAGATGGCTACAGAGGAGCAGGTGGAGCTGGGACATCCGCACCGAGCGGCTGCCTCCGTGTGTGTGACAGCCTTGCTCCGCAGCGCACTGTGCGCCCAGCCCAGCACTGCGAGCAGCAGGGTTACTCCAGGGGATGTCACCCGCTCCAAGTGCACTCTTCATCCATTAAAGACCCTGTGACACAGGCAACAGCAGGGCTCCAGTCTGCCAACAGCCAGAAGGGGCTCAGAGCAGAGCTCTGAGGCACCTGGCTGGCCCACTGCACACTAACAACTTGTTTCTCCTTCCTCCTTCGAGGTCTCAGCTGGCAATGGAAGTACAGGCAGCAGTGTGTGGTATTCCCTGGTTCATTAGGGGAAGCCCACAGGACCATGTGGAGGTTTGCTCACTGGAGCAGAGCAAAGCTTAATAAAGCTACCGCAGCTGGGCTGCAGGCAGACCTCAAGTGCCCATGCCAGGCCCCACATGCCAAGTCTTGTGGAAATTAAATGCAGAAACTCAAATGAGCTATGCAGATCGAGCTGTTCAAACTCTGCTAACCCACTAGTACTTTTTTTTGCCGTTTTACAACTCATGCAGCAACTCAGGGCTGTGTCCCAGAAGCTCTTTCTAAGCTCAGGACAGCACCCCCCTGCCCCTCCAAACACCTACACAGGCAAGCCCCACTGCCCAGCACCCCCACCCAAGGACCTATCTATACTCCTTTCAGCACCAACTCAGTGCCTGGGGCCTCCGTGTCACCCAAGTCTGTGCAGCGATGCACTCCCCTTTCAACAAAGCAGCAGCATGCTGCTATAAAGGGATGAGTTTCTGTAGCAACCAGGCTGTACTTGTACAAACTCTGCCAAAGCACTAGATCTTTCCACAGACTGATACTTAAATGAACACACAGTTTGTGAAACTGGTTTTTACATGCCTCAAAGGCTAGCAAGTGAACTCTTCCCTGTTTTACCCCTCTACTCCAACACCAGGCTGAGAGATGCATTAAGTTTGTGCATGCAGCACTCCTTCCTCCTGGGATTTTACAGGGAAGGCCCATGTCTCAAACAGTTAACTAGACCCCACATCACCCCAGGGGGGGCACCCAGCATGCCTGCAATCCCCCAACCGATCCCAGCTGCAAAAGCAGACTGGAAGAGGATCAAGGGGGAAGGGCACACCAACCAGCAGCGCGTGGCTGCAAGCCCACACCCTGCCCATCACGTAGGTTTGCGCTGGACCAGAAGAGTTAAAAGAAGAAGCCATTCCACTGCATCTCCTGCAGCCCACTGCCAGGCACAGCCCGCTATTTCTAGTTGAGCGTGGGAGTGGAGAAGGATCCCTCCAAGTCCCCCACCCAGCCCCAACCTGGCTGAAGTTGTTGGGTGCTGGCTGTACCACACCCCACAGCAGAGTTGGGCAAGTGAGGCTGCGGGGACTTCGGCAATCCGGCTCAGGGGGGACCCTCTGCAAGCACACCCCTCCCCACCTGCAGAGCTCCCTGCCACCAGGGATTTCCTCAGGCTGCTGGAGCGAAGTTCAGCCTCACTCCTACCCAGCGTGTTCAGCCTCCTGACACCACACCCCCCACCCACTCCCTCCAAACACAGCAAGAGGATTTCTCCTCTCCTGGTGAGGTTATTCCTCCAGCAGCATTACAGCTCTGAGCAAAACAACCCCGGGCACTTCTCATCTGCAGTGAGCTGACAGCAGAGCAGAGGGGGCTGTGGCACAGGCAGCCACAGCCTCCCCAACTCAGCTGTCACATTACACAAGCACCACGGCTCGAGAAGCCCCCATCAGCCGCCGCCAGCGCCCTGTTACACAAGCACATCGCTCCACGTTAGCTTGAAACCAGCCAAAAACACACACAGAATCCAACAACTGTTGCTGCATGTGTCAGCAGACTCACCGGACTGTGTGCTGGTTTGTGCTGCAGTGTCAGAGTCCTGGGTGCTCCAGGGTCTGTCCCACCCTGTCAGGTTGAGAGACTGCAGGCCAAGGCACAGATCGTTGGTGTCTGGGAGGCCACGGGAAGACTCTTGCGTGGACGTAGGGAAGAGCATCCTGCTTGCCACTGCTTCTTCAGAGTCCTGGATGTCTGCTCGGATGGAGAACAAACAGAAGCTTGAGAGTTCAGGGCTGCTTTTTTCTTTTTAAAGCAGGAGTTTTCCAAAGCATTAAGCCCCAAGCCAGGTCTCGTGTCGCTCTGAAGCCACAGCTCCTGCAACCAGCAGTTGCACCCCAAAAGGGAGGGCTACCATATGTCCAGAATCCAGCCCCCCACCCCCCTCGGCCCCTCCACCTTCCTATCCCGTCTGCATTACTGACTGGGTCAGCATGTGACCAGGCTGCTGATGCTTACTGTGCTGACAGTGACGTCACTCTGCCATGCAAGAGAACTGCATCAGCTCTTACAAAATAAAGGTAAGAAGAAAGGAGAAGATTTCCCCTGACAGACAAGACGGTAGCAGGAGGAAAGAGGAGCAGTTCCAGTAAATCAGGGGAGGCAGGCAGCACAAAGCAGGGCTCGTCGGCACAGCAGACACCAGGCTGGAGGCAGCAATCCCCCCAGCAACGACGAGAGCAGCAGCGACAGAGCACAGTTAGTTTTAGTGCTACCCAGCTCTCCTGTCCCCGCCTCCCTCCACCCACAAAACCCAAAAACACTTTAGTCCTGGCCAGCTTCCAGCTGCTGGCTCCGATTCAGAGCCGATGCAAAGCTTCGCAATTCTGCTGGCATAATCTGTTTGGTTGAGCCTGGCCACTGTGCCTCACTGACTCGGCATTGTTTACCCCTGAGTAACAAGGATAACCTTCAACCCCCACCACCGGGAGAGCAGCCCATCATCCCGGGTCCAGCCCAAGCAGGCACATCCCACTGGTACAGGAGGAAGAGGACCAAGCAAACCCATTTCACATCAGGAATTTTTCATGGCCTGTTTACCTTTTGCCCGCCTGGTCCCCCCTTGCCCAGCCCTCCCCTCCCTTGCAGGGTTCACAAGCCTAGAGTACTGGAGATGCGGATTCTCGCCTTGGTTTAAGCCCGTGCCAACAGCCTAAGGAAACGCAGCAGGTTCATAGTCTGAGAATTCCAGTTTAACGCAGGGATCTGGGGGCTGGTGAAACCACAAGATGCTCAGCTGTGCTACCCGAAATCTGAGTCAGAGGGCATTTATAAGCCAACTCCCAAGCAGCAGCAGCTGTCTCCTCCTCCTCCCCCTGCCCCCACAGCCTCCCACTGTGCCATCAGATGTACACCTCGCTCCACACACCGCTCCCGGCTCTTCCGCAGGCGCTGCAGTCGCTCCAGTCTGTCACATTATCCTTCACGTGCAGTCCCAGTCATCCCAGACAGCCCAACAGCGTTCCTGGCCTCCTTTTCCACATCCCATGCCACCTGGAAGCCCATGAGCAAAGCCCAGGCAAAGGCTGGTGGCAGCTGGGTAGCCTACCTGTGACACAGGCCACTGCTGCCAGAGGCAGGACCCTTGCCTTCACCCCATGGCACTTTGGGAGCAGCAGCATTCCCAGACCCCAGTGAGGGGACTGAGGCACCACAGGCAGGATCAGAGCATTTAAAACCATAACCTGCTGGCAACATGTCACCTTCCCCCCTCCCAGCTCCAGCCTCCTCCACAGCACTCCACCAGGGTGTTTCCTACTCCTAGTAGTACTAGTACAAGCTGTAGTGCCAATTCAGTCACATTACCACCAAGCACCTGTAACAGCATCTATTTCTCTGACAGCATCACACTGCATCTTCCAGCATGGTATTTCACTGCATCAATTCTTCCCAGATAGTTTTTTGATGGCTTGTTTTGGACCTCTCTAACATAGGGAGGAGAGGATCAAGACACAGTGCTCAGCCAACTCAGTTCCCACAGCAACCATAACTTGTCCATATGAATATGTAACATTCCTGCCTTTATGAAACAGCACAAGTGCTGTGCACAGATCCCTGGCAGCAGGAGACTCCCTTCCCTTTGGGGACCAGGGATCTTACTAGGTCTGAAAAGAATAATTCCCACCAAGCCTTATCTTCTGGAAAGCAAGGAAACAGTACTGACACACAGCAAAACCTGAATCCCAACAGCTTGGATGAAACCCACAACTGAAGAAATAAGGAAAATAGGGAACAAATTTATCTGTGACAGGAAGCACTCACTCCGCAGTATCCAGCCAAGCTTTCCCTAACTATCCACATTTTTCAGGAAATAAACTGTTTCATTTAATCAAACCAAATCAGATTCAAGTACAAGATCCTTAATTCCCTCTGACGACTTCAACTCACATTAAAAAGAAACTCCCTGCAATCCAGTTACAGCTCTAACCATGGAAGCACAGAGCACAATCCTCTCAAATAACCAGCAGTTTTAAATTAGACCTTTTCCCATTGGAAGCCAACAACCAGCCCAAGCTGCTTCCCCTTTAATACTCCCAGCCAGGATGAAAGACAGATACAGGTCATCCAGGCAAAACATCAACTAAAAAAAACCAAAGAACTTACACAGATTTCTGGACTAGTTATTTTTAAAAGTCAAGAGTCTGGAGATTTGTTAAAAGCAATCAATTGTTGCAGGCAGAAAAAACTAAACAGCTACTAAAGCAGGAAGAATTAAATTTCAGACAAAAATTCAGTTTAAGAGCCATAACCTCAAGTTATGAATAACTAAATAGCTACCAAACACAAAATAACTTCACTTTGCAATCTGACAGCCCAATCCAAATGCTTTACTGCAGATTTTTCCAAGCACCAACCACCAGCACAAGCCCTTCCAACCTGGATTTTTCCCTGGAGTTGCCACTGGAAGCCAACCATCCTGGCAGAGGGAGCGGCGCTGCGCTGGGCTCGTGCCCGAGCGTCTGGGAGAGACTGAGCTCCTGCCTCCCGAGCCTGTTGGGTTTGATTTCGACAGCATTATGAGAACAAAGTCCTTAACAAAACACTCCCTCACTGGCCTTGGAGCAAGTCTCTCTCCTGGGTGACTCCCTCCTGGGCCTGCCCAGGAGATCCCTACAGCCAGGCCACATCGCAGCACAGGCCAGACAGCTTTCCACACCACTGCCCACATGGAAAGCTGCATTTTCCAGACTTTAACTGTGAGCCCTGGATTTAAGACATTCCAAAGGCTCTTGAAGGTGAAGCTCTCCAAAGCTCAGCTCTCACCTGCAGGCAGGGACAGCTCCCAAAGGCCCAGCCTCTGTCCCCACCTCATCCCACCCTCTCCACTCACCACTTTAGGCAGGTGAGTTTCCACACAGGAAGCTGGGCTGGGGAGCTCATCTGGTTAAAACCAAGCCACAGGGAGTTAGTTTTAAGCCTGGTTCTCTCCCCTGATCTGGTATGCAGCATGGCTGCACCAACCAGGCACTTCAAACAAGAAAATATTTAGGAAATTACAGCCTAAGCCTGCGTGGGAAGGATCCACAGGGCCTGGCAGCAGAAGCTGTGATCCACAGGCAGGTTGTGGGTTAAGGGAGCAGGAGGAACAGGGAGCATGATTCAGTTCCCAGCCCATAGCAGCAGCATTTGTGCCATCAGTCTGGAAAGGTGGTGCTTCAACCTACAAGAAAGGTGTTCAGATGTTTGAACCTTCCAGATCTGGGAAGGCCAGCTAACAAACCAAACATGGTTTTTCCTCCTTCAGAATGGTTAAGCAAACATGAACCAAGTCCGATCCCATTCCTACCACCTCCACAGCCAGCACAGCTCTCCTTTTGCTCCCACATGCTTGTTTCCACCAGAGCCTGAATACAAATGAAACCCCTCCTTGAATGCCCCCCCCCAAGTGTTGAGGGCAGCAGAATGATGAGCCCAGCTCAGCTGTAAGCTCTCTTCTGACAAAAGCAGATTCACCCCATGGACTAGAGCTCTGCCCAAGGCTGAACTTCCAAACCAAATCTGGAGAAGCCTTCAGAAGACAAGAAGGCAGCAGTTAGCAGCAGCATTGCTTTGCCTTTCACACTTCTCTGCACCTCCAACTGTAAAGGTTGGGAATTGCATCCCTGAAAATTAAGCCTCTCAAGTGCCTTCTGCACACGAGACAAATATCCAAGTGAAAGCTGTCAGATGAGTCAATTGTATTCCCGAAGTGCAGTGGAGATCATCAGGGACTTAGAAAAGCACTTGCTCACCATAAACCTACTAGTTACAAGAGGTTTTTCTGAAACACAACTAAGCATCTCCCCAATAATCTGAAAAGGTCCTGAAGTGGAGACACTTGCTGCTATGTGACCTGTTTCACAGCCAGATGAAGGAGTCTGCCTTATTCCATAACCACTAACACTTGAGCAGCTGGCAAACAGCTACTTCAGAAACCAAGGAAGAGACACTGCAACAGTCTTGCTGCTCTGCCTCCCCCTTCCAAGAGTAACAGAGACTGTCACAGAATTACAGCACCAAAAACCTAACAGAGCTCAGAACAAATCATATAACTGCTGGATCTTCAGGAACACCACCAGTCTGTGACCACGGCAGAATACAACACCTCTAGGCCAAGTCCCTGCTCTGCAGAACACTGACCTGCTTCTATCTGCCTATCTGATACAAAACCCAATTACTAGAGGCACTTTCCAGTAGAAAGAAGCATCATGATTGCATAGGCAAAAAATATGGCAACGTGACACTTCAAATCCAAAGGCCAACAAGACCAAAGGAGCTAAGTGTGCTCTTTTTCTGGGGTATAGGTGTGGAATCTCCCTGTTCTGGATGTATACATGGCATCCAGCGTTTCTCTGGGGCAGGCAGAATGGTTCTGCCAGCTTCGGGTGAGCTCCTGTTCAGAGTCTCACTCTCTCTCAGTACCTCCAGGTAAGCAGAGCTGCCTTTTGGGTCCCTGCATCCTAGAGCATTTTACTCCCTCATTCAAGACCATGTATATCAGGTCAGCTGCATCCAGCCTGTCCGGAATGTTTCCTTGGGGCTGCAGAGGAAGAACAGAGGAATTTACATTACAGTATCAGAGACACTTTTTGGACGGCTAAACAAGTGATAGGTCATTAATTGACTGCAGTTAAGAGCAAACAGGAAGACGATTTAGTCATCAGCTAGTCTGGGTTTGCATTTGTCCTTCAGTTTTCCTTAAATAAAGCAGCCACAGAGTCATTAAAGCCTGATGGGCCACAACTAACAGCCTTTAAACACTGAACTTGGCACCTGAAGCCTCTCCTATCCGAAGGAAGTCATTTAAGCATCTCCCATTTCTTCACACAATAGGCTGTCAAGTTAGAGCAAAATAATGGCTGCTTTGTTGCTGTTAAATGAGCAGAGCTTAATGAATGAGAGATCAATGTTGCTGGGACATTTGGGGTACCTACAGGTCTTCAAAGTTCCTTTTAAACAAAGCACTGCCTTCAGCTGAAACCAGCAACAGTATACAAAAACTACCGTGGGAGTATTATTCCCAGCTCTACTAAAGCTGGAAGTTGTGCCTACCGTTTCAAAAGCTGGTGTATGTAGCAGCACCTTCCACCCAGAAAGGCTCAGCTTTAAAGCCTCGAAAGCAAACCAGCAGCCAGTTAAGAAACTGGCCTTGGCCAAGTTCTTATTCAGAGAGGTGATAAACATATGCAACAGCTTTAAAATCACATTCCTTGTGCAGCAGCTGCTCAAGGACAGGCAGCTGCTCCAGCAGCACCATCAGGAGATGCTGATTCCTGCCTCTGTCAAGGCCACACTGCCTCTCCCATCTCCAGCACCACACAAAAAGCCCTAGAGGGTAACGCCTGCACTGAGGAGGTTCCGCCTTTCTCCAGAGAGGACTGAGGCAGCCGGACATACAGCAGTTGTGAAGCATCATGGCCCTGTCCCAGAAGCCACCAGACAGGTTCTACAATGACAGTTCTCCCCACACCACTGCACCCCAGAGTTTGGGAGAGCATCTTGAGCCCGGTGCTTGGAGAGCTCCTGGAACAGCTACTCACAAACCTCGGGGGGTGGTCAGCCCAGGCATCCCAACACAGCTGGCTCTGACAAGACAACCAAGTTCATCAAAGAGTATCATAAGCTGCAAACTGATCTTTACACACATCCAACTTTAGGTGTGACAAGATGAAGCTGCAGCAGCAGTCCCAGCTCTGCCCAGAAGGGGATAACACTGACTGTGTGGAGCCAGGAGTGCTGAATCAGCCTGTCCTCTCACACTGCTCAGGCTGCTGCTGGACTGATCCCAGCACAGCCTCCCTGTCAGCCCAGTAAAGTGTCTCCACACGTGCTTCCCCAATAGCATTAGTGAAAGGTCATGAACTTCTGCCATCTCTTCTGCACCACGTGTAATCCTCTTAGTGTTCAAAGGGGCTTCTTCAACACAAGTCCAAGCTGGGATAAATTTAGTTTGACCTGAAGATGACAACTGAAAAGCTTGAGGGACCATGAATAAAGTCCAAGCATCTACTGCTGGAATAAAGTCTCTTCCCCAAGCTCTGCCATTAAAAGAGTTAAGTTGTAAAAAGACAGTCCTTTCACCTGCTATAGCTACAACAGTCATGGTAGATCTCTAGGATTAATTGAGCCTGCCCAAGCAAGGAGTTTCATGATAATCTAGTCTAACAGTTGCTCCTTCTCAAAGTAAAAGCACCACAGACTCAGAAATTCTTCAGAAGTGACTTGACTTGGAGCAATGACAAAACAGCACATGAGATGAAGGGTCTCTGCTCCATTGATCACCTACCCAGAAGTTGACTCAAGGGCAAGGCAAACAGCTCCAACAACCTATTCCAGGCTTAACCACCTGCCCAGACACCTGCACTGTATTCTGCATTTTAGCAATCAGCTGCTTGGCCTTACAGCCATCAGGTGTGAATTTCTGCACAACCCAGGCCAGGGTCCAGGTGCCAAACTAACTCCCCCATTTATAGATCACAGATGCCCCAGGATTCACATCTTTGCTGACACTGCCAGCTTTTTCATGGAGAAGACTCTCATTAGCAACCTCAATTATCAAATTAGCAATTATCAAACATTAGGAGCAGCTCCTGCACTTTTCAGCTCCAAAGACAGGTCAAAGCTTGCAGAGCCGCTGCATTCAGGCCCATTACCTACACAGAGGACCCAGCTCCAACATTAAGGAAACAAGGCTGGGACTGTAAGGAGACCAGTAACTCTGAGCTGCCGATGCTTTGGCAGATGCTGCCTCATCCACGAATTTACAGCTGATAACTGCTGGCCCAGATTGCCCTCTTATCAGTACCTTCACACTTCTATTGGCCCAAGACAGCCCTCCTCCAGCCCAGCTCAGCAGGGCCCAGTATCCTTTGAGAAGTGAGGAACTCTTTCCTCACAATATCATAAGCATTTGTGTCACTATATAAGGGATTTGACACAAGCTAAAACCCTCCTGTCTGGGCAACTATTGCCAAGCAAGGCTCCCACCCTGGTGCCCAGAACTCACTGGTGAGACAGGTCTTCAGCTGCCGAGCAGGAAAAAAAGCCGCTTAGGGTGTCCCCAAAGCCAAACAACTTTGGCTTCCATGCAGCAAAAATAACATTTGTGAGAGGAAGGTGCTCTTTTTTTTTTTTTTCCCACACCCAAGTGCCAGAGTACTTGTCCTGTGAGAGGTCTTCCACAGGACTTATCACCTGAAACAAGCAGTTTAACACTACAGAAAACTCAAGAATTTCCAGACAAGGCATCACTAGGAAGACCCTCTGCTCCAGACATCCCTAGGAAAAACCAGAGTAAATGACAGAACACACAGATTTGCAAGCAGCAGGTCACTAAAAACTCCTACTTCAGCCCCAGGCAGATGCCCCCATCCCTAAGAGAAGAGTTTTCAAAGTCAAATACAGCACTGCAAGTTAGAATTACTGTGCCAGCTCTTAAGCCCAGACAAAACCAGAACTAACCCACACCTTCACATGATCAATCTGCTCTAGCAGGCAGAGACATCTCCTTTATAAATCAGGTTAACTTTGGCAAGCTGAAACTTAATCAGGAAATACCATGATCATGTTCTAAGAGTCTATGAAATATTCCCATTCCAAATGGAGTAGGAAGGGCTAGTGTAAATATTTCAACAAGGAAGCCAGAAACAACTCTTTCATTAACTCACTGCAAGGAGATAATAGAAAGTATTACATTTATTTCTCCTTTATGCTTCCAGTGCATCCAGATCAGATACAGCACTGGCTACTACTGTGCTAGGAGACAAAAAAAATAAAATAAAATAAAAAGCCAAACCAGCTCAGCACAGCAGCAAATATCTAAAAATGCACCACTAACCTCAACTGGTTAATATTCACTACACCAGTGCTCAGGAGTAGCCAGCATAGCCTCCAATGCTACTTTACCAGACAGGTTTCAAGCAATGCTGGCCATGGATCCAGGCCTTGAAGCAAGTAATTCCCTTCCTCTGGTATTTCTGCAGTGCCAGCATGGGATCACATGGCCAGGTCAGCCCCAGGTCCACACTGCTAAACCTTCAAATACCCAGGAGATTAAGCTGCACTGGAAGTCATCTGGTAGCAGTCATTTTGTTAGCCCAGAACAAAGTTGCACTATACAGGCATCAAACAAACAGACCCCACAAGCTGCGCAGACACTCATTTAGAGCTTTTTTCCACACCCATTTGATTAAACCTCAGGTTACCCATGAGGCCAAGGCAACCCTTTCTCCACGTGACAGGAGAGAAACCTGCTCTGCCCAGGGAACCCTGCAAGGTCTTCAACTGGGGAGGTTAGCCCTTTACTTCCCACTTTGTTTTGGGACTTACCCTGAGGGGTCAGTTTGTTTCCAATAATGGCTGAAGTGTTTATTGACCCTACAATTCAGAGGCTGGAGAGGCAGCAAAATCCCTTTCAAGGGCCCAAATCCTGGCACAAGCACTGCTGCTCAGAGGTGTGCTGGCAAAAGGAGTATCAGGCACAGGTACATTTACTGGCAGACCTGGGCTGCTGCAAAGGGACAAAAGCACGTCCCTCACTTGGATAAAAATAAGACCAGACCAAACACTCTCTTGCTTTGGCACAGAATTTCTGTCTTGAGGCAGCAGAACATGCCCACTCCCCTCAGCCTGGAGGAAACAGAAGCTTGCAGCACTGATTTCATCACACCAAGCTTGCTTTGCAGGGAAGTCTGCACCCACCTGTGCTCTTACATGCATGTTAACTGACCTGTGGCAAATATGGTTTTTCAAAATTCTTTTGCAATTTCAATGTATGCAGCAACTCAGCCTCACTAACCTTGAGAGTAGATGAATTCTGCCTCCAGGAAAGGCAGACTAAAGGAGTCTGCTGGAGGTATTCCCACCAGCAGTTGGCAGGTCAGGCAGGGAGCACTCACAACCTGCCCACAATGACCCACAGCACCAGAGGGAGGCAAGCAAGCCTTCCCAGGCACCTCCACACTGCCAGGGAATACACAAATTACTCATTTCAGGCACACAAGCAAAGATACCCACCCCCCCCCAAGTACCAAATGTGCCAACACCCACATCACGGAGGATTACCATCACCACTTGTTCACCAGGTCCCACCAAGTGCCTCCCCAGTCCAGCAGCCCCCCTCCATCACCTGGCAGGGTGTCACATTTGCCTTTTGTGACAGGCGTGGTGCAGACTCCACTGAAATCCAGAGAGTTGTCCAGCATGGCATTTATTCGGCGGAATATATCCGCATTGCTGCAAGTGGAAAGTGCAGGGGCATTCGGGCTATCCCAGCAGTCTTTTATGTTCCTCACAGGATCTTCTTTCTGGTAAAAAAGAACCAGTATGTGTGTCAAATAGGCAAGTACTCGGCTTTCAACACATTGTGGAAAGCCTGGACTGCCTCCAATATTCACATTAGCTTAGGTCTTAGCAACACTCAAACCCAATTCTTGGCATTAAAGAAGCAGTTAAGCAAACGGGTCAGCAATTTGTCAGCAGAGCACACTGGAGCAGACTGCCCATCACACACAGGGACCAGGGATGGACTTCAGGCTGACAGTCACAGCAAACCAGCTGGGCTGTGAACACAGCTCCCTGCTGTTTTTCTCCAGCCCATCACAACACCAGCAGAGATCTGATTAATGAGGGCACACACCTTCTACCCCAAAACCAGTTTCCTGACACCAAAGGACAAGTGGGATGCTCATTGTCCAGGCAGACACCACAAGGAACCACAGCAGCTCCTCTTACGCATGGCAGAGGAGCACAAGGCTCACCTCACTACCCATCTTGGAGTCCTAAACAGTATCTTGGAATGATCCAAGTCAGCAGCAACCACTTCAGGTTTGCAGAAAAAAAAACCCAAACAACACTGCTTCCCAGCTAATCAAACAGCCCCAATCCTGAGGAAAGGCAGAAGATAAAATCCTGATGTTTCCTTCAGGCAGCAGCTCCTGACCACAAAGGTAGTCACCCCAAACCATCTCTGCTTTAGCACAACCCAGCATGCACACAGATCCACCAGCATCAAGGTTTTGCGACCATCCTAAAAAAGGATTACCTCTTGTAAAGCTTCTGCCTGAGAAACATCAAACCCCTCCTGCACCCGGGTGCCAGTCCAGGGAACCGGGAAGAGCAGCTGCTTTCCCAGCTCTGCTCACAAGCCACTGACATGCAGGCTCCTTCGGGAACAGCTGCACCACATTCGAGTCTCTGACAATTTAGAAGCCGCTAAGCTTCATCGCTACCAGCGTTTTGGGCCGAGGACAGGTCTGCCCGCCATCCAAAAGCCACTGCAGAACTCTGCCCCCGAGCAGACACCAACCCCAACTAACACCTGCTTTAAAGAGAGGAGCGGGGAGGCACAACCGGCCAGGCCAGGGCTCCGGAGCAGAATACTGGCCATTAAATCAAGCTAAACTCAAATCCAAAGAGCTGAAGAGCATCAAATCTGGCAAACGAGCCCCTGCTCCTCCAACACACACCGAAGCTCCAAATGGGGCCGTTTGTACTTGTCAAGAAGACTACAGATACTCTCCGATGTGCTTCTGCAAGTTTCAGGCCTCACTTACCTCCAGCTCTGCTTCACTCGCGAACAACTCTGAAGCACCGCGCTGCTTTTACTTTCTAATGACCCCTTGCGGATCGTTCAAGGAGGCTGGTCTGAACTGAACTTCACATGGAGACGGGAATATTAGCCCAGCCCACTATCAGCCTGGCACTTACATTCCAGCCCCCGCCTCGTCATTACACGTGCACGATGTAATCCTTCTCTCCAACTACCCACCGCATAGGTAAAAAGCAAAGGAAACCCAGTCCTGGAAGCAGCAGGAATAAGCCACTGAATAGACAGCTCGCACCGTGCCCTCAGGCGGGTCCTGAACAATTCCAGAAGAACTCCAGCCCGTTTAGGACTATCAGCATTTCTTCAGCGCTGAGGGCTGGGATCTTTGGCTATTGAAATGCTCAGAGCTGTGCAGGAAATCACGTTATGAAAAGTCAGTGGCCATAAAGGAGACAGAGGAGTCCTGCAACTTTATTCCAATAAAGGGAGAGACTGTCCACTGGGGCATACGCCCGCGGGGTTTTCTCTCTCTCTCTCTCTCGGTTTTGGAGGACACAGCCTCCTTTTAGCCTGAACTCCTGGCCGCATGTTGCCCTCTTCCTTTCCCCATCAGCTGAGGTACTCGGAAGGTACAGCCTTCCCGAACCGCCTACCACATATTCCCCCTTTAAACACGTAACCTTCCCCTCAAAGTTCAGAAACTCAGGCTGAGTTCGTCTGTTTCAGGAGTCAGACTGTCTGGTTTCTCTAACAAACCTGCGGCTTGAAGTTGGTAGAGACATTAAGAACCACTTGAAAGACATTAACACCCATCCCCTCACCCATGGAATTGTTTGTAGATACACGAACACACGTCAGAGCCCACCGCTCTGGGGGGACATTTAAATAGGGAACATTTAAACAGTGAAACAGGTAAAGCTAAAAGCAAGCTGAAGGCTGAGAGAAGAGGTGGAGTGCACTTCAAGTCATCTCTATAAAGAGCAGCTGGAGTACAGAAGCTCAAATTACAAAAGTATTGCTAATCATCTTTAATAAAAAGGAGTGCCGCATCAGGCTGCCTTGGCACAAGCACGGAACTCCACATTCTACTCCTGTTCCTGTAAAATAACCACTTCCAGGGGGAGGCAAAGCTTTTCCCTAGGAGTCTGCACTAGCAAGACAAAACAACCTGGAGCAGCCAGCTGAACGCCGCACCCGTCCCTTCTCATTTAGCCTCCACAACTGGCAGCACCAGTCCTGCTCCAAACAGGAACAAAAACCAGTGAGAACACAGACAAGCTTTTCCACAAAAATCCCTTCTGCTAGACAGCTAGACAGTCAAGGACATCCTTGGGATACTGCAATCATCCTGGACACAGGGTAGGGGGACCTTGCAGCACTGCAACCCCTTGTAGGAAGGAGCTCCTAGCACACCCTCCCCTACCTCAACCCGAAAATAAGATACTCCTTTGGGAAGAGCTCTGCAGGTCTCCTGAGCACTCAGAGCCCAAACCACCCCCAAGCGCCTGGAGAGGATGGTGGAAGAGTTTGCAGACTGGAGAACCCAGCCAAGTGCTTCCATCTCGGAGCCAACACCAAAGCCCAGGGAAACATCACGCCTGAGGCTGCGTCCCAGAGCCGGCGCTGCTCTATCACCCCCAGCCAAGACGAGCAACTCCAGAGCCCAGGTAGGATTTGGTTTCCCCGCCCCACCTGGAAGGATTTGGCAAATTCAACACATTGCCTCTCCAGGCTTCCCTAGAAGCCTCCACACTGCAGCTACAAACTACAGATCCCCTCTGCTTCCAGAGGCACCAGCCCAGCAGCACTGGTGGGGTTCTCCTGGCACCAGATGAGACACCCTGGGGTGTAACCAGTGACCCAACAGTCACTCTCAGCCATTCCATCCTGCTATACCTCACAATCCCAATCCACAGACACACTTTTATCGCAGGATAAACAAGTCAGTGGAGAAGCTGATCCAGCTGACAGGTACTTTAAAAGCCGCCAGAAGTCGAACACCACTTCTTAACACCTGGTAAGACACCCAGTCACTTAGCTGAAAGTTTCTACAGAAGCCACTGGATAAGAACCAAAGGACAATTCAGTTCTCTAAAGCAGGCCCATAGTGCCACAGAGCAAACAATTCTGAGATGGGAGGTTAAGTCACTGGAGGTCAGAAACACAAAACCCAAGCAGCACCATACACAGACACAACAGGATGAACCTCAGGCAGGAGGGCAGTCCTCCACATCCTGACTCAACTAAGAACTTTCCAGGAAAATTAATCCCCAGAACTCTGAGGCTTCAAGGAAGGTACTGAAAGGCTTCAGACCCCTCTTACAACCCAAACAAACACAGGGATTTGAGAAAAGGAGTGCCAAGAAACAGGGAGGAGTTCCCCTCCCTCAGAGTAACAGAGCACCAGCAAGCCTTACCACCATGGCAGAGAGCTTTTGTTTTCCTGCTGTGCATCCAGAAGCTGGGAGGTCTCTGGAGCTCCCATCCCACCAGCCCCAAGCAGAACCTGCTGAGCTGACCTGCAGGAGGGCCCACAGCAGGCACAACCAGCAGCACTCAGTCAGTGCTACAACACACACCTGTGCAGCAAAACACCCCAAACTGTCCAAGGCAAGTGGAAATGAGGAGTCTCCACAGCACCAAGGCAGACACACCTGCAGGAAACCTAGAGATAACGAAATCCCTGGGCTAGGCAGAACCTGCAGCATCACAACAGCACTAGCACAGGATTAGGATAGCCTAATCCTTAGGGAAGTCATTAAACACAGCCTGGCTGCCAGTATGGCCAAGACGTGCATTAGCTCCCGGGGATGCTGTGGAGCTCACCCACCTCAGCTACAATCCAGCCTTTGCTTTTTACATCTTCCATGGAAACTTCACCCAGGCAGCACCATGCTGATGCCCAGAGGGGTTCTTGGAGCTATAGCTACAGCCAAGAGGGCCTTCAATCCCAAGGCAAAATTTCAGATGCTGTTAAAATGGTGCCCAGGTCAACATAACCAAGCTGAGATGGCTCCGGACTTCAATGAAAGGGAGCTCAGAAAATCCTTTTTTGTTGGTATGTTTTGCTTCCCAAGTTGAAGTCAGCTACACCCGTGCAAAACACAACATTGATGTAACTGTTTCCACCAGGCAACACACTCCCACCTCCAGCTCATCCCAAAAAGTGTTAAGCAAGGCTGCACCAGGTCTCCCACCATCAGCAAGGCTAACGTCACGCAGCTGTCCTGGGGTGTAGTGATTTAATGAGACATCTTGAACACACCTGCTTTGAATTAAGACTGGTCTTAATCCACAGGGGAGCACTCATTTCAGAACAACACCAGTTTTGCCAAAATCCTTTTTTTTTAAAGGCATTTCACCAGCAAGGCACCTATTTTTTGGTATATTTTTTTTAAGCCATCACTCACAAGCAGCTTTGTACATGAGCAATACCCACAGCTGCCTATTGCAGAAGGCTGTCAAAGCTGAGTAAGGTTTTAATTGGTTTAGGGAGACTGTTCCAGTTGAGACAAACTGCAGCAAAGTAAGGGGGTCCTGGAGCACTTCCCTGAGCCCAGCTCCCACCCTGTGCACAGCTGTACCTGAAGTCCCTCATCAGCACTTCAGGGGCCAGCACACCTTGTTAGCCCGTAACACAGGCACCAGTAATGAGCGTTAATTGGCTTCAGCTGGAGAACAGCTAAGGGTAAAAAAAACAACCTATTTTTCAGCAGACTTGTCTCACTCAATCACCTTTGTCCATACTCAGTTACAAACTGAGTCTCCTGTGTCACCCCTTGTCCCAGCCAGACACCACATGAAGCTTTCAGCACACGGTTTACAAATAAAACACCACTTTTGGTCACCTTATGCACTAAAAAAAAGGCAGTTTAGAACAGGGCAAAAATACCACTTGCACAAGTACAAGCACCCACTCTAGCCAAAAATATACCCCACCATGCACACCTGAGCTCAGCGCCTCCAGCCCAGCTTCATCCCCCTAAACCTAAAAGGTTGCTAGGCTAGGATCCGGTTTCCTCCGGCGTTTCCCTGAAGGCAGGGTCAGTTGGTGTGCTCCCTGAGCTCCATCAGACCCCCTGTTCCCCGGGGTACCTCAGCAGCAGGACACCCACGAGGCCACTCCAACGGGAAGGGGGAGCCCATAGCAGCACTCCCACAGGAAGCGGGGGAATTCCATCCAGGGCTGTCCTGAGGGCTCGGCGTCCCCGTCCCCTCTTCACGCAAGTGAAACGGGCGGGAACGCCACCCCCGGCAGCTCCACCGCGTGGAACCACGTGGCGGGGCGGCCTCGCGAGGCGGCACGTGCTCGCACTTACCGGCGGGAAGGCCATGGGCAGCACTACGGGCGGGCGGTCCCAGAACGCAGCACAGAAGAACCGAAAAGGTAAGGAAGACACCGAGAGCGGCGCAGCCCCTCGCCCGGCCCGCGGCTTTTATGGGCCGGGCCGGGCCGGCCCGAGGCGGGGGCGGGGAGTGAGGGCGTGGAGGGAGGGGCGGGGGTGCCGCTGAGGGGTGGGGTTGCTGCGCATGCGCGCAGCACGCGCTGGCCGCGTGGTGGCTGCCGGCCGCCATCGGGCGGTTCCCGCCACAGCCCCGGCGAGCTCCCCCGCCCCGGCCGCCGTGAGGGGACGGGGCACCCGCGGGTTACCGTGGGGTCATGCGAGGCATTCACGCAGCCCCTCTGAGGGATGGGGCGGCGGCGGCGGCACTGTGCTGTCTGGCTTCAGCCACCCTCCCAGGGACACCTCAGTGCTGGCAGCTGCCACATGCAGGATGTGACACTTGCTGTGCCCCGCGGTGAGGGGAATGGGATCCCCTAGGGTTAAATTGAGGACCCCAAGGGCAGGCTTAGTGTTATCATTTCTTCACCCATGGACTGTGGTACTCACTCAGCCCCCTCAGAGGGGATGGAACCCTGAGAGGGTTCCATCTGAGGTTAAATCTGAGTGGAATGGGGTGGTGGTGGCACTGTGGTGCCCAGCTGTAGCCCCTCGGGGACACCTCAGTAACAGAAACTCCACTCAAGGGCTGTGGGGCTCACTGAACACCCCATGAGGGAATGAGACTCCTGAGGGGTTAAGTCAGCCCCTCTAAGGGAAGTGGGATGGTGGTGGCACTGCCCAGCTGGAGCCCTTGTGGGCATCTCAGCACTGGCCACGCTCCATGTTCCTCTGAGGGGAGCGAGACCCCAAGGGCCAATGACAGGAGTTAAGGGCTTAAATCAGCCCCTCTGAGGTGAGTGGGACCCCAGGGGACAATGACAGGAGTTAAGGGCTTAAATCAGCCCCTCTGAGGTGAGTGGGACCCCA